GGGGGGGGGGGGAGGGTGAGGATAGGAAAGCTCATCGTGAAATTCCGCCGAGCATCCTCGTTCGCGATGAATATAACACATTTGGATTATATCCCGAGATAAATGGCTCTAATTCCTGACGTACAGAGAGAGTGAGTGGAAGAGCTTTTCGAATAATTATCGAAGTTATGCCTTTGAACGGGCACACGAACGAACAAGCCCGAGCAGACCGAGAATTTCAATATGCATCGCGACATTTTACCAACACTGACCGATCGGTATTGCTTTAGCGCAGTGGTCCTCATAGGGTGTACGCCCTGAAACGTCGGGCGTGTCGTTACAAGAAATATTTACCAGTAATTATTCGGTGTGGTCTCGCCCCTTAGAGCGGCGAACGCGAGTTAATAATACGGATCATCGCGCGTTCGATCCGAAATCTTTTTTTCAGAGAGAGACAAGGATCTTGGTGTGTATACGTGTGTGCGTGTGTATACGTGTGTGTATGTGTGCCACGAAAAAATGTCCCCCTTATCTCTCTTTCTTCTTTTATCTTCTCCACGGCGACCAAAGAAAATTTATCCGGCGTATGTCGTACCTCGTAGCTCACCCGCGCTGAAACGTTCATTAAGGCCGATCTACAATAGATGGAGTAAGGAGTAGGAGTGAGACGAAATGAAAATAATTTATTCGCTTACTCTCTTACTCCAGCTCCTTACTTCAGCTCTTACTACTTAATTCAGGCTTACTCCATGTGACGGGCAAACTTTATTGTAGATCGGGAAGCGAAATAAATTATTTCCATTTCGTCTTACTCCTTCTCCGTACTCCATCTATTATAGAACGGGCCTTACCGTGTCGCGACTCCACTTCAGCGGCTATTAGAGTAACCGCAACGGGCGGCTGACCTTCGTCATCTGATATCTTATCCCGAAATTTGGAAAACTGTATTCCCGACTAAAAATTTACTCTATAGTCTTGATCACGTCGACCCTGATTAGTCATCTGGTTTGTATAAGATGATGTTATTCTAATTATTAATAAGGCTTTAGTTTTGTTTTGTGAACATTCATTGCTTCATTAGAGGCGTGACCTGAGCCTCAGGTCGTTCTTCTAGTTAGGAAGTCTCCTCTGAAGAAGTGAACTAGAACATTCACGAAACGTCGGAAACAAGTCCATGAAAGACGCGGCACCAATCCGGGAGCCGAGAAAGCAAACCAGATAACCGATTGAAACCAATTTGATCAGGATATCTACGAACCACTAGTGGCTCGCCGATCTGCCATTACCGGTCTTGTAGAACATTGAAACGCGCGAAAAATCGTCACTGGCAAATGTAAACTCGCAGTTGTCATTAGATTCTCGTTATGTGTTGCATTCAGGTCAGTATGACGAACTGCTCATCAGTTTTACTGGCAGGCGCGCGTAGATGACTTCAGTAGACCTTGGCTCACCCGCGCGCTTCCTTTTCTGTAAAGTTTACGTTCCAAGTGCGAAAATTACGTATCCCTCTAAGCCTTAAGAAGCCTTAAGAAATTGACTAGTTACGGTGAAACATAAGGAAAATAATCGACTGTGATTAGTCAGTTTCTTACGGCTCAAGGTTTAAAGCTTTATGACTTGAGTTCTCATTGTAGATACCGCTTTTACCGAGACTGTGCACGACTACGTGATCCTGTCAGCGTGACAACGCTCGTCGTACTGATCTATATGCAAGTGCAACACCCTGTATTCACCTTCCGGGGCGGAAATCTGCACGGAGCTTGTTGTCACTCGCCGTTTACGCGCGCCGGGGAACGTAACTATTGTGCGATCGATCGTGGCCCGTCGAGCGGATAAGGATCGATGCGATTCCCTTGGTCTTGGTCTATAATGGTCTCGCTTATGCGCGATAACGAGCTCCCTCGCGACAATCTGCGCCGATTGCCGCGCATGCTGTCGCTTTACCTTTTACCTCACGAGCATTTTGCTCGGCGACCTCCTCGTGCGGGATCCACGCTTTGACTCCCCGTGGCCTATATTTACGTTTTACGGTAATCACAAAAATTGCACCCTTGTCGGAATTGCGGGCGTTTCTATCACCTGTGCTCCTCCGTTCGGGATTTGTACGAGCTACAGAAGACTCAGCGGCTCGCCCCGCTCGAGGAAATGCGATCGAGTCGCGAGAAACGGCAGGACCACGTCGACTTAACGGATTTTCGCCCTCCTTTCACGCGCCGTCGGTTTCAGTCGCACATAACAAGGTAAAAGTACCAATACCTGGACATGAGACATGTTCACGGTTTGTTTAGAAGCTTCTTTTCTTACTGTCCATCTCGTATTTTCCCTTTTGCGTAATCGTGTAGACTTAGCTTGATGATGTGGTCATAGAGACAAATTTTTGCGTGACACTAGTAGCGAACGTGTCAATGACACTCCCAGATAGACTTTCGTAAATGGCCCTTCAAAATTTTAAAATTTAAGTAGCAGTGTCATTGGTACTTTTACCTTGGACAACGGGAAAGCAGTCGCGGGTCGTAAAATGATCGACAACCACGAGAGCGAGGTCTGAGATGCATTCCGTTCAGGAACAATCAAATGATAATCAAACGCGATTCCGCGGACAGTGGAAAGCACCCACGATAATCGATGATTTTCAGCGCGAGCTCGCGCACGCCTGGTCGACGAGCAACGAGATATCGCCTCGTCCGGCAAGTCTGCCGATGAGACACGTGACATAAAGAAACGCGGCCGGAAGGGTCGCCGCCACTCGGTTACAAAGAGGCACACGCACGTGCGCTGGCACTTCGCTCGAATTGAAGCCACCTATCTCGCGGTCGATACCTGCCTTCTTCTCCGGCACGACAGTCGACACGCGACGGTTTCCGCTATTAGTAGTCAGCATCCCCGAAGACTACGGAGCGTGTAAGACGTTTCTGGAGGAGGCGATTCCGTCCAACGCGCCGTCGCCAGGGTCGCGCTCCTCCGCGTATCGAGACGATCGATACCGAGCTATCGTCGATCGCGCGGCAGTTTCTCTCGCCTTTACAGCACATGCAGATTCTCGCAACTCTTAGACTTGCTGTCGCGCGCCCACACCTTGTCGAGCAGATTGCGCACCTTCAAACTGGCGCTGGTCCGGCTGCCGCGATACTTCTTAGGCGAGTTGTTCTCCGAGCATGAGCCCAGCGGCGACTTGCTGCGGTTCTTCCGCGACCGCTTCCGGAACACGTCCCTGGTCCTCTCGGGGTTCTCGAGCTTCAGGCGGATTTGCGTGAGCAGACCGACCAGCAGCTCGTCGACGTTATGATTAATGCCGACGGACGTCTCGATGAATTTGCAGTCGTAAGACGTCGCCATGGACTTGCCCTCTGGAAACGAAGGCGGGGGCGGCATCGATTAACCTTTCGCGACGCTTCAAGGGCGTCGTAGCTGACCAGAATTTCGTATGGGACTCGCGCGGAATACCGCGCACTTTCCGGGTCTCGGATGATTTCTATTTTCTAGCTAGTAAATTAGCTGGTAAATTACGCGAACTCGCAGTGATACGTAACGAGAGATGGGGGGCGGACGCGGTATTACGGGGAGGAAAAGCGCAATTACGAGGGAGATGCAATTAATCTAGTCACGTTTAAGAGTACGGCGCGCACGCTCGGGGGGTTAAATAGCTCTCGCTTGCCCTCGGGGAATCCGCGTCAAGGCGCGGGCACGAGGAGGGGGAGAGATGGAGAACGAGCGAGATGCTGCGTCAGTTTACGCGCGTTATCTACGATCGTCCTATATCTCTCACGTTCCGCGCTAAATGCCACCCCGACAACGACGACGACGACGTCGACGGATAAGCGACCCTGAAATTCTCGCGTTGTCGTGGGGGTCGCGCCATGACCGTTCGATTCGAATCGCGACGTTACTCATCGGGTCGGAGACTTTTAGGAGGAGAAGGAGGGGGGAATAGCGTGGCGATTACCTTCGGTCGACACCAGCCGGCTGCGAACCAGGTCGATCTTGTTCCCAACGAGGATGACCGCCCTCGCGGACACGTGATCGCTTCGCCACAAGGACTGCAGGACCTCCTCGGCGACGCGCACCGATGCCCGGTCGGTCGTGGAATAAACGACGCAGTACGCGTGCGGCTCGTACGTCGCGATGCAATTTTCCGGCTGCAAGCATTAATCATGACAGACACATTAACGGTGACGGGCCACAATGGAGCTTGGCAGTCCCTATTTCCAATTCATGAGGCGTATGATTTGCTTGTTGCGCGCGAAACGACCGTTTCGTATCAATAATCATCTGGGTAATTTCCACTGAAGGATACAGAGAGAGAGAGGGGGGAGGGGGGGGGGCGGAAGGAGCAGGGAAAAGAGAGAGATTAAATCCGTTCTCGATGTTAAAATAAAATATTAAACAATAGTAAAACCAGGTCCGCGCGCGCATCGATCGAAAAATTGAAATTTTCAACGCCTCATTACGACGAAACTCGCATCTTTTAGTCATTTGAATCGAGATAAATGATTTAATCGAGATTAATCATTTTAAACGAGGACGTTACCGTTACGTGTATTGTTGGACATACGGTAACAAATATTTTATGTTTGCGCCGAACTCGATTCGCGTAGAAATTTTTGTGTTGAATTTTTAACACAACCGTGTATGAATTTATCATATTGTCGTTCTATTATTTTCACTGTTTCACATTGAGTCCATCTCTTCCATTTCCAAGCGTTAAAAGATCACAATTTATAAGTAACAAGAGTATTATTGATCATACATTTTTGTATACTATACGCACAGATGAATTGTGTTATTATTAACATGTTTGTCTCGTACAAAATTATCAGAAAAATTAGACTGGATGAATCGAGGCATGTGAAATTTGTTAAATTCAACATAAAATTTTTGGCAGTAGTACCTGATTTCTCCTTGCCGATAGAACCACTTTATAGTCTCACTACCCGGCGTAGTCCGGGTTATCGCAAAGTATCAAGGGGATGAGAGGGTGAGAAATCAGGGTGAGATGGTGGATATCCAGATTTGATAGCCTATATTTTCCGTAGGGTTCTCGGAAATAACTATGTGAAACTTGGTCCAGGTCGATTAAAGGGTTTAGGAATTTATAAGAAACGTATACAGACAGACAAACATTCTATTACTTACATATTCTTTAAGTAATAACTGAAAATTTTACGTGGTTGTTCGCCACAAACGATGGAGGAAACTTTTGTTCAGTTTCACCTAATGATCTACACGAAATGAATATATGTTGTCGTCAGACACGTTGTGTGTGTAGATTTTTAACATCGAAAATGTTCTACTTTGATTCCTCCGAGCATAAGGGTATTTAGCCGGAATCCGAATTTTATCGGTCCCTTCATCGTCACCCTTTCCAGAGACGAGCGATGCGACCTGGCGAATCGTGGTCGCGTGGTCGCGTCGTATTTTTCTTTATGAACAAAGAAGGTGGGCAAGATCAGTTTGATCGCGCTTACGGGGGGGCCGCTTCTGTTACGTAGCGTTACAAAAATACGACTACCCGCAGCAAGTAAATCCGCACACTCCGCACAATTCTTTCCTGCCCCCATGAGACCACGTCCATTGTGTCCCGCGCGCTTAATCCGCCCGCTCTGCAAGTAGCTTATAAAGGGATATTCTTGATTTCTTTTTAACTTCACGGATACTTGTAGCTCTTTCTCTTTTTTTCTTGAGCTAGATGCGCCGTAAGAAGCGCATCTTTTGTATGGATACATCGTAGAGAGAAAAACTCCTCCTCCACATGAAGGTGTATTATAAAAGCGAACTTAAGAAGCGCGCCCGCGCTATTGTGCCGCGTTTACTGGCATAACTCGTACAAAAGAAGTATCCACGGCCGACTTATCGCGTTTACGGTTATGGCGAATGATTACGCATGAAGTACGAAATAAAAATGGAACACTGTATGCCGGAACACTGTATGAGACACGTATTTGTTGCAAAACACGTCGCGCCGCGATTATAATTGAAAAGCTTTGAACATTTTCTTTTTGTTCCACTTTATTATTCTTATACACAAAGACAATTTTATAGTAAATATTTTTATAGGATATTGGAAATAGATCGACATTCTCCAGTAATTGCCCACACAGCAGAGATATCCGGAATATATCATAGGGATATCCTAAAGGCGATATATTTGGGACATGTGATATCTTTAAGATATCCCTATGATGTATTTGGGACATTTTTGCTGTGTGGGTGGCTATCCTTTTATGCCATATGTGCTTTTATATTTTACTTATATTTCATTATATTCAGTTTTTTTATATTTTAAGAACTGTATGTGTGTGTGAGAAAGAAAGAGACAAGTGTGCTACGAATAATTTGCTATTTTTCTTCAGTAGATTTTACTGTTTCCAGTGAAATCTGCTACATTTATTAGTAAAATATATCTTGTTGTGACAGTCTAATCCTGCACTATTAGAAACGTGATAAAATTGAAAACAATTTATATACCGTTGAAATTTTGTATTCATATTGTGACATATTGTCGGTATTTTGAGTATTCCGCGTTGAGCTAATATTCACCATTTTTGAGTGTTGAAATAACCCAATTTATGTGCAACATTTATGTGTACATGTGTACACTCTTGGTGATATATTTTATGTAATGTAAAGTGTACAGATGAATTGCATTATTTGTTCACATATATTTGCTTTGCATCAAATTAACACGAAAATTAGAGTAAATAAGTCGGGAAACGCGTGAAATATGTTAAATTTGACACAGAATTTTTTGCAGTGTTTAAAACGGACTATAATATTATTCCCGTATATTTAGCGCCAATATGTCGAGTCGAGTTGAGGGAGCGAGGAATTTCAGTTTATAGGTCGCGCGTAAAATCCTCATATGTAACGTATGTTACGAGCAAAATAAAATATATGCGTGATTTCGACGCAGAATTGTTAGAACGAAAAGAGTCAAGGATAACCGCTCCGATATTCATCAGCACGTGGGTGCTTAGCAATTTGACACTCGAAAGAGCCTGACAGGCCGATTTGGCCGCGACAAGCGATATTAATCCTTTCGTTTTGTCCATTTTGTGATTTGCTGCGCCTCGGCCGCATGTGAAAAAATTATTATATTTTGCACTTTTCAATTTTTATCGGAGCATCGATACGTAAAGTATCGACTCTTATGTTCTCGATGACGGTTCTCTCTTTCTCTTTTTTCTCTCTCTCTCTTTGTCAGGCGAAGGTTTTTTTTTTATTTTTGCAATAGCTCTATGCTATTTCGGGAGAGCACTTGCAGCGACGCGCGCACCAATCCGCGTCGTTTCAATTGTACGATCGCGAGTGTCGGTGCTGTCGGTGGTTTCGTTCGCAGTAAGGAAGACCCCAGGGATTCGAGGAGCCGTTTCTGCTCCTTGAAATGCTTTTCTTTTCGAAGTGCGGTTGAATCTCGTGTCGCTTATCGTTGTCCAATTCGAGCGACGTGGCACGATTTCCTGGAACGTGTATAATTGCTGCGACCGCCACTCCAAATGTTCCCCGTAGACAATAAATAAATAGTAATCCCGGGCGATATTTTTCGTCGTACTCCGTAATTGGCGTCCGTAATGAAGTCCGATCTGAAGCGAAATCCAGTTCAGAAACGGTCGGGAAAGAGGACGTCAGAGAGAGGAAGAGAGGAGTGGAAAGCAGCTTAAAATCATCGTGGAGGACGTTAATTATATTTCCGCGAGTGCCTCGCGCGAAAAAGCCGAGAATAATAAAGCGGACCGAGTCGGGACGACTGGAAATCCTGGTCAACTAAACCAAGGCTTAGCTATTTGCTATAAGTGTCCCTCTCGGTTTTCAAGTGTCTACCCGACGCGCGGGAAGCAGGACGCCGTTGTGCAACATCGGTTCGCTCCGCGCTTCTTTTTATAAAAAGAAAAAAAAAGACGATATCCGCTTTTCAAAGTATCCACGAGAGAAAGAGAAAGACAGAGAGAGAGAGAGAGAGAGAGAGAGAGAGAGAGAATAACGTGTAAAAATCCAATAATTATAATGTCCGACACGATTCGCGCGCGCGAGATACGTGCACGTGGCCGACGTCGAAACATATTTCAAGCGCATCGAACGTAAAAATCCGACAGCCGCGCCTCTTTTTTCCACTCTTCTTTTTCTCGCTCTTTTTCCTCATTAGCTAAAATAGAAGCATCCGGGCCCAGGTTTTGCCCGTCGTCCGAGGGAAAGGGGTTACCGCTGAGCGATGTTAACGCAGTCAGCCGTTAAAGGTTAAGATAGCAGCGAGCGTTGCGGGACGTAGAGAAAGAGAGTGTGAGAGGGGAAAAAGGGGAGAGAGAGAGAGAGAGGGAGAGAGAGAGAAAGAGGGAGAGAGAGAGAGAGAAAGAAGGAGGGATAGAGAGAAAGAGCGCCAGAGAAGCGGGTGTGCTGCGATTTTGCGAACGATTATACGAAAGAATTACCTTGAAACGTATCAAAGGCGCGCCTCGTGATATCGAATATATCTAGGGATCGACCGGTTAACGGTCGAACGCGCGGTATGGCTCGATGCTCGTCAATGACTAAGGCACGCCTGGTTGGACGGGCAGGAGAGAACGACGAACGCTTCGTTAACCCCCTCAGGTCCTTTCTTACCCCGGCTTTGTCTCCCTCTCTCTCTCTCTCTCTCTCGCTCGGAGAGAGCTTACAGAGAGCGGTTAGCTGGTCACGCGATAACTCTTACTTGGTTGGTTACACACAGACCGCAAATCGGACTGTCGCGCCGCATTTGGATGCCAGACGGGCCGCAGGACGGGGATAACATTGCTCTAAATGGGAATTTTCGCACGGGAACGTGGCGCCGCGCCGCTAATGCAGAAAGTAATGTCGGTCGAGGTGATCGTGACTGGGTTAAATTGGGATATATCACGGGCCTCGATAAAGAATAATAAAGTTAATAAAGCTCCCGCGACGTGCTGATCATTTATTTGGGTGTACGTACAAAACATGTATCGCGAAATGTTAAGATCGAGAAACAACGATTGCCAACGTGTTGATCGCGAGATTGGCAGATGTCGGGACGTCGGCTCTGATCGACGTGGCGAGCGCGAAGTCGACGATCCGCGACTAATTAACAGCTCGACATGGACGAGATTCTCTCTTGCGAGGATCTCTCTTGCATTTAGCGTGATCGCTC